AGGGGCCGCGGAGGGGCGGTCTAAGGGCCGTAAAGGGGGCCGCTAAGGGCAAGGTAAGGCCACAAAGAGGCCGTAAATTTTAGGGCAGGGCGCAAAGGCGCTTCGGGCAGCTGAAAAAAAAAATATTCTTGTGGTGGGCCCTAGGAAGAAACGGTCCCACTATGGAACCCGCTCAGATACCATGTGAAGTAGAGAGGAGGAATGGATGAACTAGGAAAGTGTGTGATACAAATATGAAACCCTAGAATTGTGTACCCCTTAGTATCTACCCCGCTACAGCCTACATAGGCTAGATCATATAAGTCTGACAATTAATTCTAAGCGCCTCTGTCGTGTCGAAACACCAAGTCACAAGCGAAGCAAAGCATATCGAAGCACCGGCGAGTCAACCCTCGGAGGTTGAAGTAACTGTTGGAGGTTACGCGAAAGTCAAAGGTCAGCGACCTTTGACCTGACAAGTACAGCACGACAGCAAGGACACACAACTGACTCGTTACAGAGCAGTTGCCCGAGTCGTCACTGTATCAAACCGCAACAGCAACAGTAAAACAGTTATAGCTGTATCTCTTCATATTCCCTGTACCCTTATATAATCTTATACCTCTTTGTTTTAATTAATCTACTTTGCCCTCACATACCAGCGCAAGGTGGTTCAATCACTTTATAAAACACTTCCGCTATTACACTGTTTCTACTCAAAATTCAGCCCTGCAAAGATCCTAAGGGCTTCTTCTCAGCCCAACATAACCAACCTTATCCTTACCATGTTCTTTCGTAGCTTCCTTTGTCAGCTGTGCTGCTTCCTGCCTGCTGTCAAGGCAATTTGGCTCTGACCTCGGGCAACAGTAAACAATAACCCAGCAGCAGCAGCAGCAGCAGAAGCAGCAGCAGCAGCAGCAGCAGCAGCAGCAGCAGCAGCAGCAGCAGCAGCAAGGGTTTACTTGTTTTGATTCATTGATATAGTTCTCAGAGTGTCCTTAAAAACAAACTAAATCGTTCGAGGTCAGAAGCAAACGCTCATTCCTCGGCAATATGACACCTGAAATTAATTATGAGTCTGAGGAGATGCCGTTTATTCTCATGTTCTGTTTTATCGTTAAACAAACCATTTCTTGATTACAGTGTTATCTCTCCAGCCAGACTCAATTAGTCGCACCTGGTCTTGTTCTTGACTCAAGGATTGCGCTGTGCAGCACCCTACCTTCCGTGCCATTTGTTCCATGTCTCACTCACACCGACCTTCGAGATTCCATTTTGAGTGGGCCTTCGCGCTTCGCAGGTCGAATATCCCCTTCTCGCGCTTGTCTTCAAGCAGCGCGATTGGTTTTGCAAGATGAACTCTGATTCGTTGACGATATTTCGTAACTTTGACGTGGCAAGGCAACATACAGCACCGACCGGAATTGTTGATTGGTCGGAGAGGGCAATACTTGACGAGCCAGACCAGTCCCTTCCGGCCAACTTCATTGATACTCAAATTATGCCAGGAGCGCTTTGCATCGGTACTCAACTTCGGTTTCGCATTGCTGATTGGTTATCGATTTTCACTCACATCGCTGATTGGATCTCGATCTTTTATCACGATTTTCACGCTAAAAACACATCCGCAATGTCACGAAACCGAACGCAGTTACCAAACTACTAAATCATGGAATAGTCAACCCTGTATCAAGCGCAAATTTTGTTTAAGATAATAAGAATCGAATTGGGAAAATTTAATCCAAACCAGGATCAGATCAACTGAATGGGGACACCGACAAGCCTCCGTCGACAGTGGACTTGCTGACCTCGGAGATGGGGGCTCAATTATTTTTTTTGTGCCCTCACGTTGGAGCACTATTCCGTAAAGAATAACAAAAAAAAACTTTTTGGGAAACTGGAGGCAATTTGGGTGATGATCAACCCTGAACAATGGATGGCTTTGCTTGTTTAGGGTTGATTTTCCCAAAAACTGTCATGGTTATATAAGGGATTTAGTTTTCTTTAAGGTTTTGTTTTCAAGGGTATGTGCAGGAAAATAGCTGGTGGTGTCTTTGATTCAGAATTGTGCTTTTATTATAATTAAACAATACACGTAAGTACTATACCAAGAATTTGTTGGTTGAGTACGACTGCAAAGCGCTCCTGGCATAATTTGAGTATCAATGAAGTTGGCCGAGTCCCTTCGAATGGTGTCCTAGGAGTTTCCATAAATCTATTTCGTAACAGCCCCAATTACAGTACTATGGAACTATGTACCAGGACCTGTGTGGGAGTTCGGCAGTCAAAAGAAGGGAAAGATGGGGATGTGTCACGATTTTTCTTTCCTAATCAAAATTTTGTCAATCTGTAGAAACGGGTATTGGGGGTGAAGAGCATCATCTCGAAATCCCCTTCCCTAGCGCGCCGCGCTGGCCCTTTCTTTGCTTGCAAGACCGGCAACATACATTGGCGCCACCGCCTTGAAACACACATGGGTGCGCGGTTCGGGAGCGCGGCGTTGGCGATTCCCGCCGTCACGGCTCGCACTTGACTGCAACGAACCGAATTCAACCCCACCCATTCCAGGCACAACTGCGAACGCCAAGAAATGGTCGCCTGGATGAATCAATGTACAAAAGCAGTGATGTGAGTCATTTCTCAGCAATCTCTCTCCACAGCCTCACTCTTCCGCAGCCTCCGTCGCTCTGTGGCTAGCTTGCACTTGCTAGCCCTCTGCAGTCGCCTCGAGTCAGGCGGTCGACGGAGTCGAAGCGTGAGCAGAGGAAGAAGGGCGCGGCGCGTTATTACAGTCGGCAATAACCACTCCAGCGCGTCACCATGATGAACTTCTTTGGCGGCGGCTCGTCCGAGGAACAGTCGAACGCGAACGCTGATGCAGGCGAGTCGTATGGCGCAGAGAAGCTTTCTCTGAACGAGGAAACCACGTACGGGTCTTCGGGTCAGACTTCCGAGGGGTATGTGACGGAGAGCGTGGTGTCTGTGGTTAAGAAAACTGCGGGTTATGGCGGACAGGAGTCTGAGGAGTACGGCGCCAAGGAGAGTGGGGGTTATTCGGCTGATAACAATGAAGAGGGAGGCAGCGGGTATAACGCGGAGAGCGGCAGCGGGTATAACGCGGAGCGGGGTAGCGGGGATAATGAGGAGCGAGGCAGCGGGTATAACGCGGATAGCGGAAGCGGGTATAACGCGGATAGCGGAAGCGGGTATAACGCGGAACGGGGCAGCGGAGATAATGAGGAGCGAGGCAGCGGGTATAACGCGGATAGCGGCAGCGGGTATAACGAGGAGCGGAGCAGCGGGTATAACGAGGAGCGGGGCAGCGGGTATAACGCGGAGAGAGGCAGCGGGTATAAAGCGGAGGGAGGCAGCGGGTATAACGCGGAACGCGGCAGCGGGTATAACGCGGAGCGGGCCAGTGAGGACAACACTGAGAGGGGAAGCGGGTATAACGCGGACGAGGGCAGCGGGTATAACGCGGAGCGAAGCAGCGGGTATAACGCAGACGGGGGTAGCGGGTATAACGCGGACGGGGGCAGCGGGTATAATGCGGAGCGAAACAGCGGGTATAACGCGGACGAGGGTAGTGGGTATAACGCGGACGAGGGTAGTGGGTATAACGCGGGCGGGGGTAGCGGGTATAACGCGGGCGGGGGTAGCGGGTATAACGCGGACGGGGGTAGCGGGTATAACGCGGAGAGGGGCAGCGGGTATAACGCGGACGGGGGCAGCGGGTATAACGCGGACGGGGGTAGCGGGTATAACGCGGACGGGGGCAGCGGAGGCGGGTATAACTCGGAGCGGGACAGCGGGTATAATGCAGAGGAAGGCAGCGGGTATAACGCAGGAGGGTACGGTGGGGGCGGATACTAAGAGGCAGTTAGTATCCCTCTACGCCAGAGTCGCTTTAGGCGTCTAGGGCGGCTAAAGCGGTTCCAGTGGCTTCGGCGGGGAGGCGGGCGAGACGGTTCCGGTTGGAGGCACTGGAGGAGCAGAGTCGAAGACGCGAGCGCGGAAGTGGGTGGCGGGACTGGCGAGACTGGCGGAACTGGCGGAAGTGGCGGAAGTGAGTGAAACGCGAAGGTAGAGGAGAAGCTTATGTGTGCTTTTTATTCTCTTTCTTGCTGCTTTATTTGCTTGCTGTTGCATGTTCCTTTCATGTGCGGGAAAGAGATTTGGAAGCTTGTAATGTGTTCCCTATTTAGTATCTGAATTCCACAATCGCTCGCACTTCAAAGGGGCACACCAGTGGGTCCAACCTTCTACCACGTTGGTGACAAATTCCCCATGGTGGCATTATATGCCCAAGCCAAGCCTGTGTACCATGTATTGGATACTACACTAGAGACACTACCTGCAAGGAGCAAGCACACACCTGTAACATCACGACTGCCACTAGACAGGTCTACTCAAATGGAAGTGGCACATTATTCAACCCTAGATCACTGTGAAATGAAGGGGTTGCCTACAGGATATCACTGTAAGGCGAGCAACATAGCCAGAGCATCCACAAAACCTACAAAGTGCAGGCAGTAACCCCTTCAGCAACCAACTAACACCAATAGGGTCACCACCCACATCAACAACAGCACCACCAGCACCCACAGCACCACCAACTGCAGCGACAAGATATGTGTGACTGCACCCCTCGAGCAGTCAACTTTGTTTCTGATAGCTCCTAATCATCCCTAACAGCGGGTCTTGGTGCCCAAGCCATGGTTCACGGACTACCACAACCCATGCACCCCACTGCACTGCACCCTGCTGCAGCATGCCGGGCACCACTACACTCATCATTGCACCATGTTCGCAGCCACTGCTTCCTCACCCACAGCAGCACCACCAGTCAGGCCTGCATCCCTGAGAATGCGTATCCTCTCCTCCAGCCCCACACCATGTCCTGCTCCACCCTGCAGCACCCTTCTGCACCCTGCTGCACCCTGCTGCACCCTTCTGCACCCTGCTGCACCCTGCTGCACCCTTCTGCACCCTGCTGCACCCTGCTGCACGCCTTCCCCTCATCATTGCGCCACGCTGGCAGCCACAGCCTCAGCACCGGCAGGGGCAGCAGTAAGGTCCGCATCCCTGAGGATACTAATCCTCTCCTCCAGCCCCACGCAGTGTGCCTTGGGGCCCAGTGCCTTGTCCGCTGCTGCGTGCTGCAGCATGGTGAGTGTCTCCCCCACGTCTGGCCCATGCATGCGCCCTGTGAGCAGCACACGGATGGGCATGAAGAGGCGCTTTCCCTGCCGGGGATTGAAGATGGAGGGGGAGGGGGGGAAGTGGGGAGGAAGGAAAGAGGGGGGAGAAGCAGGGTGTGAGGGTCATGGCGAGGGTCTCCCCCACGTCTGGCCCGTGCATGCGTGCTGTGAGCAACACGCGGATGGGCATGAACAACCGCTTGCCCTGAGAGAGAATGACGATGGAGGAAGGAGGAGGGAGGTGGGGGGAAGAAACGAGAAGGGAGAAGCAGGGTGTGAGAGGCATGTTGAACGTCTCACCCACATGACGAGGAGTGGGATGAGAGGCAACTCCCCCTCCTCACATTGCGTCCAGTGGCCTTGCCAAACCCCCTAAACCACTCTTCCACGTCGCACAACTGCCCTCCACCACTGCCAGCCGCCCCTCCCTCCCTTCCACACCCTTCCCCTCCCCCTGCCTCCCATTCTCTCCTCATCCCCTCTCCCCTCGTCTCAACTCACGTAACACCACTACCATTTCCCTCCCGCCCTCACCTTGCGACCAGTGGCCTTGCCAAACCCCTTGATCCACTTCTTCCACGTGGCAGCGCCGCCATCCACTGCTGCCAGCAGTGCCCCGCTCTCCCACTCCGCCAGCAGCGCCGTCCTCACGTCCTCCAGCCCGTCCTCCACCACTGCCTTGGCCTCCTCGCTGTGGGAAGGGAGGGGAGTGCATGGAGGGGAGTGCATGGAGGGGAGTGCACGGAGGGAGGAGTCAAAAGGGAGGGAGTGAGGGCGAGTTGGGCCAGCAGCGCCCCGCTCTCCCACTCCGCCAGCAGCGCCGCTCTCACGTCCTCCAGGCCATCCTCAACCACAGCCTTGGCCTCCTCGCTGGTGGAAGGGTGTGTGCACAGGGAGAGAGACAGCCAGGGGTAAGGAGCTGGGGGCGTGGAGGGCCAGCAGTGCTCTGCTCTCCCACTCCGCCAGCAGTGCTGCTCTCACATCTTCAAGCCCGTCCTCCACCACTGCCTTGGCCTCCTCGCTGCAGGTTGTGAGGGCGCGGGGGTAAATGCAAAGGGGAAGGGGAATGGGACGGAGTGACGGTACAGCAGCGCCCGGCTCTCCCACTCCGCCAGAAGCGCCGTTCTCACGTCCTCCAGCCCGTCCTCCACCACTGCCTTGGCCTCCTCGCTGGAGGGGAAAGCGCGGGAAGAGGGGTAGATAGGAACAAAGCAAGGGGCTTGATGCGAAAGCACTGCTGCTTTCACATCCCCAACTGTCCTCCACCATTGCATTGGCTTCCTCACTGGAAGAAGGGAACGAGGGAGAACGAGGGAGAAGGGGGAGGGGCAACGGGCATGATAGGGCAGAAGTGATGCTATTAACGTCCCCCAGCCTGTCACCCGCCACTGCCTTGGCTTCCTCACTGGGGGAGAGGAAGGAGGGGGAAAAGCACGAGGGGGGGGGGGGGGGGGGGGGGGGAGAATGCGAAGGGAGAAGGGGAAGGGGAAGGAGTGATGGGCCAGCAGCGCTATTCTTGCGTCTTCTAGCCCGTCGTCCACCACTGCCTTGGCTTCCTCGCTGGAGACAGGAGGGTAAGTGGGGAGAGAGAACAAGGGAGAAGGGAAAGGAGTGAGGGAAAGGAACAAGGAGAGAACAAGGGAGAAGGGAAAGGAGTGAGGGAAAGGAACAAGGAGAGAACAAGAGAGAAGGGAAAGGAGTGAGGGGCATGCTGGGTTGGCAGGCAGCGCAGCCCATCGGCCACTACTGCCTTGGCGTCCTCACTGAAAGGTGTGAGAGCAGAACGACACAGAAGGAAAAGGAGCGAGGGGCGTGACAGGCCCACCGGCAGCACTGCCCCTTTCTCGCCTCCCAAGCTGTCCTCCGCCACTACTCGGTGTTGTTGCTTCCAGCAGGGCATGAGGGTGACTGCTGCTCACCTATACTGCCAATCAATACCGGCTATCGACACTGGCGAGTAGGTGACTGCTGCTCACCTATACTGCCAATCAATACCGGCTATCGACACTGGCGAGTAGGTGACTGCTGCTCGCTGCTCACCTCGCGAGTGTGTCCTTAAGCAGATATGCCAGCAGCGCCTGCAGTGCCGCGTTGGCAGCCCATACTGGCATCCGAATAGCCACACACCAGGCTGCACGAGGGCGTGCAGGCCACTTACTGCTGCTCGCTGCTCACCTGCCGAGTGTGTCCTTAAGAGGATACGCCAGCGAATGCCTCGCCACGTCAGCATCCTATACTGCCAATCAACACTGGCCAACAGGTGGCTGCTGCTCGCTGCTCACCTGGCGAGTGTGTCCTTGAGAGGATACGCCAGCGAATGCCTCGCCACGTCAGCATCCTATACTGCCAATCAACACTGGCCAACAGGTGGCTGCTGCTCGCTGCTCACCTGGCGAGTGTGTCCTTGAGCGGATATGCCAGCAGCGCCTGCAGTGCCTCGTCCGCATCTGTGACCAGCTCCAGCCCGTTGCGCACCAACGCTGCTGCTGCCTGGTGGGGGTGATGGGTTGATTTTGGAGGGGAGGGGAAGAGAGCAATGGGAAGGGGAGATCATTAGTCAGGCAAAGGGAGATGATTAGTCAGGCGTTCACATCTGCGACCATGTGATCAGCTCCAGCCCATTGCGCACCAGAGCTGCCGCTGCCTGCTTGGGAGACAGGGCAACGTGGAGGGGAGCAATGGGAAGGAGAAGAAATCGTTTAAACCATCCGCATCTGTGACATGAGAGCCCCAGCTTGTTGCGCACCAGCGCTGCTGCTGCCTGCGAGGGATGGTGTGGTGGTTTGGTGATGTGGAGGGGAGGAAGGGGAAAGGGAAGAGAGTCCGATAAGAAGCCTGCATGGGTGATCAGCTCCAGCCCGTTGCGCACCAACGATGCTGCGGTCTGGTGGTGGGACGATGGGGACATACGGAGGGCAGAAAAGGGCAACGGGGGGAATTGGTTAGGGAACGTGTGGGTGAACTCCTTCCCACTTCCCTCGTGCTCTAACCAACGCCCCCACCTCTATGGTGCCGCTGCTCATGCCCTCACTTCCACAGCCCCACCCGCCCTTCCCCAACCCTCCTCCCACGCCCCCTTCCCCCCTCCTCCCCCCACCCTCACTTTCACCCCCCCCCCCCCCTTTTCCCCCTCCTCCCCCCACCCTCACTTTCAAGCCCCCACCACCCCTTTTCCCCCTCCTCCCCCCACCCGCACTTCACCCCCCACCCCCCTTTTCCCCCTCCTCCCCCCACCCTCACTTTCACCCCCCCACCCCCCGTTTCCCCCCTCCTCCGCCCACTCTCCCCCCCCCACCTGCACGGTGCGGCTGGTAGCGTCTGCTGACGCCACCAGGCCACTGGCATATGACACGAGAACAACACATTGGCCAACCTTACCCATTCCGCATCCCCCAACAACCCCCCCTCCGCCTCCCCACCCCACCCACCCTCCACACCTCCCCCACCTGCGCGGTGCGGCTGGTCGCGTCTGCTGACGCCAGCAGCCCGCTGGCGTGCCACTGCTCGGCGAGCAGCTGCGTGGAAGCTTCCTCAGGGAGCTGGCGGAAGTGCTGGCCATTGATCCACCGCAGCTTGGCGTTGTCGAAGATGGCGGCGGATTTGGTGACCCGGGAGAGAGAGAATTTCTCAACTGCAGTGGGAGGGAAGAGATGGCGGGCATGCAGTGAGAGGAGAGAGGGGTGGGGTGGGGGAATGCAGTGCTGGCGGAAGTGCTGGCCGTTGATCCACCGCAGCTTGGCGTTGTCAAAGATGGCCGCGCTCTCGGTGACTCGTGACAGGGAGAACTTCTCCACTGACAGAGGGGGGGTGAGGGGGGTTGCGCTATGGGGTGGCAAGGAAGGGAGTGACAGGGAAATGCGTTGATCCACTCCACCGCAGCTTGGCGTTGTCGAAGATGGCGGCGCTCTTGGTGACGCGCGACAAGGAGAACTTCTCAACAGCAGTGGCAAGCAGCATGAAAAGGAAAGCTGACGGGCAGGGAAAGGAGTGGCAGGGGGGGGGGAGGTGTTGATCCACCGCAGCTTGGCGTTGTCAAACATGGCGGCAGATTTGGTGACTTGCAACAGGGAAAAATTCTCCACTGGTGAGGGGCAATGCAGTGGCAGTGTGAAGGGGAAGGAGTGGCAGGGGGGGGGAGGTGTTGATCCACCGCAGCTTGGCGCTATCGAAGATGGCGGCGCTCTTTGTCACCCGCGAAAGAGAGAACTTCTCGACTGGGGTGGCGGGAGAGGGGTCGGGGAGAGGTTGCACAATGGGGTGGCAGAGGAAGGGAGCGACAGGGACAAGCCATTGATCCACCGCAGCTTGGCGTTGTCGAAGATGGCGGCGCTCTTTGTGACTCGTGACAGGGAGAACTTCTCGACTGGGGTGCGAGGAAAGAGAGGGGGATCATGGAGTGAGTGAAGAAATAAGTGGGGGAATGCGTCAAAGATGGCGGCGCTCACATCATGCCGTCACAGGAGATGGGCGTTGATCCACCGCAGCTTGGCATTGTCAAAGATGGCCGCGCTCTTGGTCACCAAATCGGGCTCAGTGACCCTGCACTGCAGGGAGACCTTCTCAACCTGATACCCACCTGATGCCAGCACCACACGACCACCTGATACCATCCAACAGCGCACCGAGCTGCGAGGGTGTAAAGATGTCGTCCTCTGCCAACCGACTTACTTGATGCCGCCAGCATGCGCGCCCACCTGTTGCCAGCACCAGCACCAGTACCACACCCACCTGATACCAACATGCCACCGCCTAGCAACGCACCGAGCTGCGAGGGCGTGAAGATCTCGTCCTCTGTGCCGTCGTTCCACCCCAGCAGCGCCAGGTAGTTCACCATCGCCTCTGGTAGGAAGCCCAGCTCCTTGAACTGGGTGGAGGCAGGGGGAGGGGAGTGGGGAGTGGTGTGGCGGAAGAATGGAGGGGTAGGAAGTGAGGGCAGCACAATAGGCTGTAGCAGCGCCAGGTAGTTCACCATCGCCTCTGGTAGGAAGCCCAGCTCCTTGAACTGTGGGGAAAGGAGGGGAAGAATGGAGGGGCAGGAAGTGAGGGAAGCAGAGCAGGTTCGAGCAGCGCCAGGTAGTTCACCATGGCCTCTGGTAGGAATCCCAGCTCCTTGAACTGCAGAGAGGAGTAGATGGGTGTGAAGGGTGGTCAGGGAGGAGAGGGGTGAGAGGGGTGAGAGCAAGCACATGCGTTCCACCCCAGCAGCGCCAGATAGTTCACCATCGCCTCTGGTAGGAAGCCCAGGTCCTTGAACTGTAGGGGAAGGAGGGGAGGCAGCAGAGGGGTGCAGGAAAGGCAGGGCGTGAGCGGAAGAAGAGACAGGCCGGATGAGCAGCGCGAGATAGTTCACCATGACCTCGGGTAGGAAGCCCAGGTCCTTGAAGTGGGGTGGGGCGGGGCGAGGCGGAAGGCGAAGAGGGGCAAGGGAGGCATGGGCATGTGAGAGGAGCGGCGAGACCCAGTGGCGCCGTGGCGCTTGGAGGAGCTTGGAGCGGTGTGAGGATGAGTGACACGTGGCTGAAGGGGGTTGAGGGCACGTAGTGCCACCTAACAAGCACCCCCACCTCTCCTGTTCCCCCAATCCCCGCCCATCCCACCCACCTGTCCAACGGAGGTGGCGCCGTGGCGCTTGGAGAGCTTGGAGCGGTCAGGGGCGAGGATGAGCGACACGTGGCTAAAGGGAGATGAGGGCATGCAGTGCCACCTAACAAGCACCCCCACCTCCCCTTTTTCCCCACTCCCGCCCATCCCACCCACCTGTCCAACAGATGTGGCGCCATGGCGCTTGGAGAGCTTGGAGCGGTCAGGGGCGAGGATGAGCGACACGTGGCCGAACGTGGGCATGGGCAGACCCAGAGCCTGGTGGGTGGAGTGAAGGGCGGGTGAAGGGAGTAGTGAAGGGAGCAGTGAAGAGTGGAGTGAGGTGCGGTGAAGGGCGGGGCTGAGGAGGATGAGCGACACATGGCCAAACGTGGGCATGGGCAGACCAAGAGCCTGGCGAGTGTTGTGGACGGGAGATTGAATTGACCGATGGGGAAACAACAGAGATTGGAGGTTAAAAAGCCTGGGTTGAGCAGGGCAAGCAGGCATGCAGGGGCATAGGCCCCGGGAGTCCTATCTTATGGTACGCAAGGCGAGCGGTGCGAGCAGCGCAAATGGTGAGCGACCAGAGCATGCATGGGATGAGGGCCAATGGTGAGTGGATGGGATGGGATGGCAGGCAGGGCGAGCAGCGGTGCACGCACCTCGTAGATGAGCGCCTGGCGCAGAGTGTTGGGCAGATGCTCCTCCGCCCTGATTGGTGGGAGGGGAGGGAAGCGAGCAAGGGAGGGCGAGGAAGCTGAATGTGCATGCGCGGGCACGAGTGTGTGTGTTTGCCTGTGTTTGTGCGTGTGAGTGTGTCTGTGGTGTGTGTGGGTGCTATGTGTGTCGGTGGGTGGATGGGGGACGAGAGGAGGAAGAGAGGAGGTACGGTGACCTGGCAGCACCTTGACATGGCAGCACGCTGATGTAGCGGCACACCAAAATGACTCACCTGATGACGTGGGAGATCTTCATGGTGGCGTCATCCACAGTGACACAGAAGTTGTACACCGGCTGCCCGTTGCTGCGCAGCACCACAAAGTCACCTAGCGTGTCCGTGTTCCATGCCACCTGGTAAGTGGGTCAACGCAATTCAACACAAGTCAACGCCAGCCATCCACAGTGACACAGAAGTTGTACACCGGCTGCCCGTTGCTCCGAAGCACCACAAAGTCACCGAGAGTGTCTGTGTTCCACGCTACCTGGCAGGGAGAACGAGTCAACAGAGTCAAACCAGGTCAACGAAAGTCAACAGAGAGTTGCTCCTCAGCACCACAGAGTCACCCAGCATGTCCGTGTTCAACGCTGGTCATTAACAGTCAAGGGAGGTCAACAAGAGTCAATCTAAATCACCACAGCATTGCTCCTTGCAACGACAAAGTCCATTGTGCGCGGTCAACAAAAACAAGCTGATACTGGCTGCACGGTCCATAAAACACGCGCTTGCCTCACCTCCCCTTGGACAAGGTCGTTGACCTTGATGACTTTGTTGGGTGGCAGTCGGAATCGGAACGAGTGCGGCGTGCCCTTTGCGCGCTGATGTCTGCCCACTCACGAGCTCTCATCCCTCTCATCTCATCACACGGATGCTTAACGCACACAGCGTCTCGTCTCACCTCCCCTCTAACGAGGTCGTTGATCTTGATGACTTTGTTGGGCGGCACGCGGAATCGGAACGAGTGCGGCGTGCCCTTTGCCAGCTCAGCAGCCACCTCCTCCTCGCTGGCCGTCGCCCACTTGCCCGCGTACTTGGGAGGAAGCTTCTTCGCCTCCTGCTCCGCCTTCATTGCTGCTAACTCCTGCACAGGGCGGAGAGGCGAGGCACAGGAAAGGAGAAGAGGGGGAGAGGAGAGGAGTGGGAGAGAAGGGGAGGGAGGAAGATGTTGAGAGGAAGCTCTTCGCCTCCTCCTCCGCCTTCATCGCTGCTAGCTCCTGCATGCATGCATGCATGGGGAAAGAGGAGGGTCACACTGAGTTGAACGCAAGGCATCTCCCTAAGTTTCGCCTCCTGCCTCTCGTCATGCACCACCCACTTTCCCTCCCTTCCTTCCTTGACCTCATTCGCATCCCACTCTGATCCCGCACCACACCACCCTTACCACACCTCCTCACCACATTAGAGCAGAAGCAGTGGTACTCTATGTGGCCCTCCTAATCTTTCCCGACTCACCTCATCAAAACCCCCCCACCACCTCACCTCATCACATACGACCGCTCCTCACCTCATCGGCTCAGAAGCAGCGGTGCACCATGCCTGAAGCCAGCAGCTTCTCTGTCAACTCACCGTGAACCTCTTGCGGCTCTCCTAGTCCTCCCCGCTTCACCGTAACATAACCCCCACCAATTCTCACCACCGCAAAAGAGCTTCGAACCACCTCTCAGCACCTTTCATCACCGCATCAGTGCAGAAGCAGCTGTACACCATGCCCGGCGCCAGCAGCTTCTCTGTCAACTTGCTGCAGCTGATCTCATTGCGACCCTCCTATTCCTTCCCAGCTCACCTCACCAAAACGCCCACCACCTCACGTCACCGCACAAGAACACCCCTTCACCTCTCAGCACCGCTCCGTTCCCCACCTCATCAGTGCAGAAGCAGCGGTACACCATGCCCGACGCCAGCAGCTTCTCTGTGAGCTCGCGGTAGATCTCGTTGCGCTCTGACTGGCGGTATGGTCCCAGAGGACCGCCCACGTCTGGGCCTGGAGAATGTCAAGGAGAGAGGACAGGGGGAAGGGGAGGGGAAGAATGTAGGGGGGTTGGGGCAGGGAGGGAGCAGGGGAAAACGGAGAGGTGTTACGTAGAGAGGAAGGCAGCTCGTGGTAAATTTCATCGAGCAATGTCCAGTACGAGCCCGGGGGGCGCCAATGTACGGGCCTGGAGGAAAAACGAAGAGATTAAGAAGAGCAGTGAAACACATGGGTTGGGAAATAGAAGCGGAAAGGGATATAATAACAAATTCATCTCACGTCCTTTCGATCCTCACAGCAACATCCCCCCCACCCTCCAAGCATCATCACTCCACGCTATCCCAGGCAGGCCTCTCACGCCTCTTGCTCCTCACCCTTCTCAAAGTCTACCCCCCCCCCCCCCCCCCCCCCCCCCCCCCCCCCGCCCCCCTTACCACCCAGCCTTTTCTATTTCTCATCATCCGAGTGCATCCCCTCGCTGCTCACTCTCGGTCCTGACTCCCCCCTCCCCACCTCCCCCTTTCGGACTCCCCTCCACCCTTTCTCACCGTCGCCCCCATTCCCTCCCTCCCCAACGCCCCTCCCCCTCCCTGCTTACCTTCGTCCCATAACCCTCCCCTCCCCCCCCGGCTCGCCCTCGCCCCTCCCCAGTCCCCCTTTCTCCCCCCCGGCTCCTCGTCCGTCCTCCTTCCCCCTTTCTCCCCCCTGGCTCGCCCTCGCCCCCCCTCCTTCTACCTTTCTCCCCTCCGCTCACCCTCGCTCCTCCTCCTTCCCCCTTTTTCCCCCCGGCTCGCCCTCGTGCATCCCCCTTCCCCACCCCCCACTTTCGCTCACCCTCGTCCCAGTCGAGTCCCAGCCACCGCAGGTCGCGCACCATGGCGGCCTCGGACTCCGGTGTGGAGCGGTTCAGATCGGTGTCCTCCACGCGCAGCACAAACTTGCCGCCTGTCGCCCTGGGTGAGGCGAAGCGAGAGGAGCGACGTGGGGGATCGGGCGGAATCGAGGATTTTGGGAGAAAAAATGGGGATTGGGGTTAGAAGAAAGGAGAATGGGGGCAAGGAAGGGGAATGGCATATGGGGCCACACGAAGAAGCCACAACCTCGAACGGCAGCAAGAGCGGTCTGCTGTGACGGCTGGCCGTCAACCCTTGCAACCGCAGTTCCTCAGGTCAGGGACGCGCAAACATACGCTTGCAGCCACGCGGTCTCCATCTTCCGCTGGCATCTTCAGGTAAGCGATTCTCGCCGATCGGTACGAAACTCGTCAAAACTGGGAAATAATCCCATCCGTGATCACCAGCTATCGACACTGCGTGTGCATTCGAAGCGCCCTGCGTTTCAGCAGTCTGAATCGCCTCAGAATCTGACTACCCTGACATCCTGCGAACTGTGATGCTGGCTGATGAGGCGTCTGAAACAGCTCATTTCGAGCTAATTCAGGATGACCAGGTTGCTGCATTCGTATAGTGGCTAGCTGCGTGATTTACGTGTGCAAGTTACTTTGTTGCCTTTTGCTCGTCTTTCTTTTTATCCCTCCTTTTTGTCGCATACAGTCGCACGCGCACCTCGCGAAGAGCCAGTTGAAGAGCGCCGTGCGAGCCCCGCCCACGTGCAGGTTCCCCGTCGGCGACGGCGCGAATCGCACGCGCGGCTTCCCGTCGCTCCCCGCCGTCGCAGCATCGCAACGAGCGCCACGACGGCTGGCGACGTGCCTCTGCGCGACGTGCGACGATTTGGCTTCACCCGATAGGCTCACTTGGGTCAGACTGAGACCCGAAAAGAAGGCCTTGGGAAAGGAATGGGTGCTCTGCGCCAATCGCTGCGCGGCCCTTCCGCCGAGCGACACAGCGACGGAGTACGGTGCTCTCGCCGCCGCCTGCGATACGGTCGCCATGGCTACCGCTTTTCGGCGTAGAAGCAAATTTGAGAAGTCCGCTAAGCGGAACAATAATCGTCAAGCGCGAGGGTCTGGTCCCCACGCACCGGCTGCTACGGGGGTCGAGGTGAGACGGGACGAGAAGAGAGCGAGTGAAGCTCGTTGGGCCAGTGCAGCTGGGAACTGCACGAGTTTGGGATAAATGGCTGCCACTGGGGAAACTGGAACTAGTAGCCTGCGAAGATCTCGAGAATCCAGCTTGCTGGAGTTGTGGAGAATCCCGAAAAAATGCCGCTGGGGTGTGTCATAGGGGTTTACCGCGGTCAAGTGCGATCTTTGGCGTATCAGAGCGGCTCGCTTGTACTATTTAACGTTTGGGTAGGGTCCAAGCAACCACAAATGTGTTGGTCGCCGCCTTGCCAGTCGAAAACGATGGCGAGGCGAAATCGTGAGGCTGAGGGGGCGTGGCGGAGCGTGAAGCGAGATAGCGCCACGTGGAATTCCAACATCGCGAGCTGATAGGGCGTTGCGTGGAAAGAGGATGTGGCTCAACCCAGTTAGTGGCAGGCTCTGTATAACCGTTCTGCGTTGGTATATCGTGTTTTGCTGCTTATCAACAATTCTTAGAAACATAAATCAATCAAAATAGTGAAAACAGCACACATCCATAATTTAAGACATTGCCAACGGATGATAGATAAAGCTTCTTGGAATAACCATCCATGCATATGATCCCACGAATATTCATTAAATCGTCTCAACACTGCTCATATACTGACTAATCTCAATAGCATTCGCATACCTGGGGTTTTTTTATCAGAGTAAATTACTCTGTTTCTCTGAAAATCAGAGTGATTTTGGGGGGGTCACTCTGACGTCCCTGGGTAATTTTCTTGGAAGATAAGTTTTCTCTGATTTGCCAGGGTATTGAATTTAGCTACTCTGATGGACCAGTGTGGGTTTCTGGCGGATGCATTTTTCTCTGTACAGGGTACAGGCACTTCGACCAAGTTGACCGCCTGACTTGTTGGGAAATGGTCAAAAGTGGTCGAAAATATCAGGTTCCAATACTGACCTGCTAGCAGGTGGCGCAACGGTAACAAATTTTGTGGGAGCGCGGAAGGCGTGGTGTAAGGAATTTTTCGGATTCCTTACTGGGTCACTCCGTACGCGTACAACCCCGACTTTCGGAAAACCAGGCTCGGTCCGCCGACCTCGCCTTCCGAGCCACCACCGCGTCGCCTTCGGGTTTTCCAACCCCGAACCTGCACCCAACCATCTCGCGACCCCGCGACCTCGGCCTAGCTAGGACTTGCTATATTGTGCCTAGGCCTCGTTGTTCATGCAGACGTTGTAATCACTTCCGCATTATTGAGTTCTGCGCACTCTCTTCTTTCACAACTCATAACACTTGGTATCAGAGCCTAAAGTCCTAGGTTACCCTCGCGTTTCCGGGGTAGTTTGTAGAAGGGGAGCGATAGACTTGGTGGGCTGTTAAGCGGTCGGCCCGTGGAATAGATCCGATTATTCCACTCCGACTACGATAGCATTAACGCCTTCACCGAAGTCAGAAAAATCGCGAACCACCCCCTGCCCGTTAGACGAAGCCTGCGACACATGGACCAGGCGGAGTTCAACGAGTTCATGCAACAGTTCCGGGAGATGCAGGCCACCATGCGGACCATGTCTGCAGAAATGGAGCGTCTCCAGAAGGAAAACGCCGAACTACACCAGGCGCGTGGTGAAACGCGTCAGGAATCGCCTGTCGTGGACGACGCAAGTAGCAGCACTGCACCGGAGGAGCGGCTCTGGAACGACCTGGAAGGCGATATAAGTGCGGATGAAGCGAGGCAGGCGCAGCAGCAACAGTCACCGCAACAGTCGCGTGCAGCACCGACACATGCAGCAGCGACAACGACGGCGACGCCAGCAGCGATGCCAACGGCTCCGATGGCAACAACGGCTTTCGTCAAAATCAAGCCGACAAACCCGCCCCCGTTTAACCCAAGTGACAAGTTCGTCACTGTTTCTGCATGGTTGTTCGGCGTGGAGGTGTTTTTTAATGCTGCCATGATTTATGACGATGCCACCCGCATTAATTTCGCAGTTTCACTGTTGCGAGGGCCTGCGCTGGAGTGGTGGAGGCGAACGCTGCAGCACGAAGGGACTTCGGCAGGAATAGCACGTGCGAACGACGGGACTTCGACACCTGTCACGCATCAGGCAACATCAATTTTCGGGACGGCCACGATACGCACATGGAAGGAGTGGGGCGTCGCCTTGCGAACCAGATTCGTGTCAGAATATTATGCTCTAGCCTGTAGTGGGGTGCTCTGTAGCGAGTACAACCCTTCTAGGGTTTGCTATTTGTATCCCCATTCTTGCTAGTGCAACCCTCCTCTTTCGCCTAAACTCTCTTGCCTAGCTAGGACTCTCCTAGCTATGGCTCCTAAGACTACCGGTTATCTTGACATGCTATCAGAGCGGTTACGCTCCTGGCCTGTGGGCCCGCCTGCTTCCGCTGCCTTCCTGTGTGTCGCGCGTCCCGTGGCGCGCGATGTTCGTTTTTTTCTTCCCGCCGCGCGCTCGGGGCGCGCGGCGGTTTTCTGCCCGCCGTGCGCCCCGAGGCGCGCGGCGGTTTCCCACCGTCGAAGCGCCCCCCGTCGCCCGTCGAAGCGCTCCCCCCCGTCGCCCGTCGAAGCGCCCCCGTCGCCCGTCGGAGCGCCCCCCGTCGCCCGTCGAAACGCCCCCGTCGCCCGTCGAAGCGCCCCTGGGACCCGCGCGCGGCCCGTACGGGCTGCGCCAGGCCCGCGCGCGGCCCGTACAGCCCGCGCGCGGCCCGTACGGCCTGCGCCAGGCCCGCGCGCGGCCCGGGCAGCCCGCGCGCGCCTCGTCCGGCCTGCGGCAGGCCCGTGCGCGCGCCTCGTCCGTCCCCCGAGCTTCTGCCGGCGCCCCACCCCCGCTACTGCCCGCGTTCCTGTGTTAGGGTTTGGGGGTGGAGGGTATGGGGGTGCCGTGAGTGTGAGCCGTCCCCTGCTCCTCCTCCTCCTCCGTCTCCCACTGCTGCAGCTGCTGCTCAGGGGGGTGGGTGTGTGGGAGCCGAGGGTTTAGGGTTTAAGGGGGGTGCCATGGGAGTGGAGCTAGGGTTTCAGCAGGGGGTGTGTGTCGAGGGGTGTGGGACTGTTGGGGGAGGTTGAGGGGAGGTTGCCGTCGTGTCGTACGCAGCGCCTGTACTCCGGGGCACTCACTCCCGGTAGCTCAGAGAGCCGGTTGCGCCGTCGCCTGTGGGTCCGTTGCTCCTGCTGCTCGTCTTAGCCGCGGAGCCTGTTACTCCTGTACTCCGGGGCACTCACTCCCGGTAGCCACTGTGTCGCACCAGAGCCGTCTGTTGCCCGTGTGCCTGCAGCTTCAGTCGTCGCCTCCCATCTACTCTCCTCTCGCCAGCCCTCCTCCTCCTCACTTGCCCGTTGTGACTACCACTAGCTTTGCTCATAATTGTGAACTTTAAACTATTGCTTCTTAAACTTGTGCTCAGAATGTGTGGTGACATTGTGATCCACCCTGAGCTTGTACTGCTTTGCTTGCTCTGCTGATTACACCCCACTTTGGCTATGGGGGTGTGTCAGAATATTATGCTCTAGCCTGTAGTGGGGTGCTCTGTAGCGAGTACAACCCTTCTAGGGTTTGCTATTTGTATCCCCATTCTTGCTAGTGCAACCCTCCTCTTTCGCCTAAACTCTCTTGCCTAGCTAGGACTCTCCTAGCTATGGCTCCTAAGACTACCGGTTATCTTGACACCAGATTCGAGCACATATCCGCCTCGGATTCTGCTCGCATGCAGCTGCGTACCTGGAAGCAGCTGGCGTCGGTCCAAGACTACACCAGCAAATTCTGCAACTTGGCGGACCAAGTGGACGACATGAGCGATGCAGAGCGGTTGGATCGCTACGTGGCGGGCCTGAAATACGAGATACAGTACGAGGTCCGACGAACCCGGCCACGCAGCTTCAACGACGCCGTCCGGGAAGCCGAGTCAACGGATGCGCTGATGCAGTGGGCGAGATCGAGCTCCCGGGAGGGCCCTCGATTTCGTGGACCGCCGCAGCAGCCCACGATCAACGGCGTGGATGCACCGAGCCGAGCCCTTGGGCCGTGCTTTCAATGCAACCAGCTGGTTCACCTGAAGAAAGACTGCCCGAAGCTTAAGCAGGGGAAGAAGAACGACGGAGAAGGGTCGGGAAAAGATGTGAGTCAGTAGCAGAAGGGCCACCTACTGACGAGACCCTGTCGCCCGACAATCACCATCCACACCGGGTCGTGGTACCGATCAGAGCTATCGACCAGAACCGGACGAATAACGTGGGTGAACACGTGGACTACCCTGTGCTGGTGGTGGGGAGGGTTAACGGTTATAAAATAAAAATATTCGTTGACGGTGGGGCGAGCCACAGTCTCGTCAACCTGGCAACGGCAAAAAAAATAGGGGTGAAGCTGACCAGGTGTCTGCCGGAGATCGATGCAAGGCTGGTGGATGGGACACCGCCGGCCATCCGAGATGAGGCGCGACAAATTCGGATAAAGTGCGGCAACAATTTTGGGTTTGGCATGAAAATGTTGGCGACGACATTGGACGGCTGCGATGTGCTGCTGGGGAGGGATTGGCTACAGCGATTCAATCCGACGATCGACTGGACGACTGGGGCGTGCGTCGTGCGAGGATACGGAGGGAAGACGACGCTTCCGAAATGGACGGAGCCGGAGCCGGTGACGACACGTGTCAACGCGGTCAACATGCAGCGTGCGATGAACAGCGGAGCTCAGACCTTCTTGGTGCACCTGTACGAGGTGGCAGCTTCCGAGAAAATCGCGGACATCGACACCCTCTGCGCAGCAGTCCCCGAGGAATTGGCGAGCATCATTCGGAAGTATCCCGAAATTTTCGGGGATGACCTCCCGGATGGCTTGCCCCCCCAACGACCTGAGGATCATCGGATCCAGCTGGAGCCGGGAGCGCAACC